TCCCGAGCTCTCTGGTTGCGGGGGAAGGGGCAGCTGGGGTGGCGGCGTGGGGCTCGACCACATCGGCTATTCCGGTTGCTTGCGGAGATCGAGGGCTACGCGACCGCTGTGGAGAGAGGCAGCGCCGTCTTTGTCCCCGGCCGTCGTGGCTCAACTCCCACAGCGCCGCTTACTGCTGGGTTCGCTGCTCGCTCGCAGGCTCGCCAGTGGCTCCTTGCTGATTCTTGAAAAACATGGCGAAAGCCATCCCTCGCCCTCCTTTTTCCTGTCGAACTTGTCTGCCGAGGTATTCATTGAGCGGTGAAGTGGTTGGGGGAAGGCTGCCGCTTTTATCTTATCCTTGATGGGCAAAGGCTGGGCAAAAGCGAAGTGTGGGTTCTTTTATATCAGAAGGCAGATCTGAGGGTACTGGTGATTTGTAGTGGATTTTTGATTGAGTAGATTTGCAATGTTTAACAGTACCAGTAGGAAAAAATATATAAACTAATTATAAATTAATTGTTGAACTGAAGAAAACTTGGGGTAACTTGGAGCAGATACTTGTGGAAGAAGCTGAACTTCTGTTCTGGTGTTCTTCAGGCTCAAAATTGGTTTCATTACGTGCTTGCAATTTGTGCCAGGTTCCAGTTTGTAGATCTCACAGTAATAAATAACTGAATATTCTATAAATAAACAGCCTGCCCATCCCTGTTGTAGCAATAATAGAAGGCACTTTTGTAACTAAGGAAGGCAGTCGAAATAATACTGTAAACTTGAAATCATTTCCATTCTGTTGGAGGAAAATAGCCCTAGACTTTCTATTGTGGAGTCCTTGGGGTCCTCTGAGCTTGGTTGTTTTCTTGCAAACATTTCATTACCTGGCTAGTAATGAAACGTTTGCAAGAAAACAATCAAGCTCAGAACCCCAAGGACTCCACAGTTCAACCCTGAGCTACACATATTCTCTTCTATTGGTACTTTCTGTTGTCCTGATTGATTGACTGATTGATCAATTATTGCATTGCATTTATATCCCATTGCATTCAAATGATTCAACTTTTATTCTGTTTAGAATAGGTAGGCTTTGTTTCTGTTCTATCTTCCAGCTAAAAAAAAATATTTTAACTCATTTGTTCTAAGAATGTGACAAGATTTTAGAACCTATTTAAAAAGCAGAAAGGGGTAATAATTTAACAGAACACCTATTGACTGGAGGAATTGAACAGTGATATCATAATCTTGTCACCAGTGGGAGTGTGCCTTCATCTTTTCTTCAGGATTGGTGTTTAAGTTACATTTTATAAAACTAATACAATAGTTGGAATGATTTTTTTCTTCTGTAGGTATTCATTGAAAGGCTTTTGAGAGTACTCTAAATTTTGGAATCTAGGAGAAATCCCCACCAAAGTAGGATAATATTTATTATACTCACAAAATTAAGATATTTATTAGATATTTAAAAATTTGATTAAGATATGATTCAAATATGTTCAGCATGCAAACTAGTTATGAGCAGCAATAATTTATATGTTTTTTTTTTCTTTAAGTATTACAGGTCATATATATTGAGTAGTTCATATGACTGGGCTGGATGGAAAAAAACTTTTGAAATTGCTTCCAGCTTCTAAACCTTTAGATAACTTGAGGCCTCTGGTTCAGTCTCCAGTCATGTCTCATGCTGTTAAAGGAAATGTTTCAGTATCTCTTCATGATAATGTGAAGACTTTGTTTACAGTTACTACTACATCTCCTGCTGCTAAAATCTCTGAATTAAAGACAGTTATATCCCGACCATTAATTTTACCAAAGCCTTTAAATCAACTAGAAAAAGCTAATGTAGCTTCTGTTGTAAAAGAAAATCCAACTACATCAGCGGTTTCTGGCATTCAGAGTAGTTATTCAGCTGATAGATCATCCTTGCAGAAAGTTATTGCTCCAGTTTGTTCAGACACAAACAATACAGATACAGCAATTGTGAGGAATAAAAATACTCTACATTCTGTGAAATCGCCAATGTTGCTTTCTGGACATCACCTCCAAATACCAGCTCATGCCAAAGTTAAATCTCTTCCAGCTTCTTTTTTGCCACCAGTAATTCAGCAGAAAATCCTGGATAAGGCTGCAGCCTCAAATACTTCAGGGACAGGAGAAGTTACAAATGCACCAACTGTTATTTTTGTATCACCGGTAAATGCAGTGAAAATGCCTGCTTCAAAATCATTGCGAAAGATATGTCCAAAACCGGTGGCAGGAGTATCTAATTCTTTAATACTGGCAACACCACAAAAAGCTGTCAATAGCTCTGCTGTAGAAGTATCAACATCTGACAGTATGGAAGACCAGACAACTCCTATGAAATGGGTTGTTCATGAAAATCCACAGTCGTCAGCATCTTGCCTTGTCCCTGTAAAATCATCTAACAACATGGCATCTAAGATCTTAAAAACATTAGCTGATACAAAAAATGCCCAAAGCGATTCTACCAGTATTCTGCCTACTTGTTCTAATAGCCTCGGTGAAAGCCATGCAAAAATTACCTCTATAAAAGACAATGCTCTAGTAATGTACAATGGGAAGGTGTATTTATTGACTACAAAAGAAGCTAATATTTTATTAACACCCAAGCATAGCAATCAAGAAAGCACAAATGTCAGAAAACAAGCATCAGAATTAACTAGTTCAGCTGCAGATAGTACAATAACCAGTCAAGTTGTCAACCTCGTACTATCAAAAAACAAAGGGATTGCATCTAATGTAAAAGAACCTAAGTCCAGTGAGAATATGATACCTTATCTAGAATCTGAAGTGAGGAAGGGTTTAAAAGCAGAATCAACACCTTCTCCCTTACTACATGACAATCTGCAAATAAGCAGCACCAGCCAACATGAAGTAGTGCCCTCATGGGGGAGTGTTTCAGTTGGGATAAATGTTGCTCAGAAATACGTCAGAAAAGAAAACACATATGGTATTACACAGAAAGCTCTTTCTTCTAAAGGAGCTGCTGATGCTACATTGCCACTTGTGCTACATCATGCAGTTAAAAAGGAAGAGCAACAGGTAATTCATCAAATCATATCAAATTGTATTTATATGATGGCGTAATTAGCTTATCAGCCCAGATCTGCACCAGCTGCATTAATCACCATATTTCTGGGACCAATTCAAAGTGCTAGCTATCACTTTTAAAATTTGAAAGAGCTTGAGGTCAAGTCATTTGAAGAATGATTTACTATTCAACTAAAGCAGCTTGGGCCCTAAGATTAGTTATAGAGATCATGTTCATATCTACCAATATGATTGGTGGATGTGGAAATAAAATGTCTTTTCTGTAGTAACCTCTTCCTTGCAGAATAATTTGCTGAAGGATGTTGCCGTGGTTTTCTTCCTGTTTTTGAATAGGCTTCACAATTTCAGATGGTCAGGAAGTCTTTTTTAATGAATACAGGTTGTCTTCAACTTACAATGACAATTGGGACCGGAATTTCCTTTGCTAAGCAATGCGGTCGTAAAGCACAACCGCATCACTTAGCGAGAGCAATCCCTGCAGTCCTGGTTGCTGTCGCTAACTGAATCCCACAGTTGTTAGATGAGGTAACTTCCTGCCAGCTTCCCACAATCAGAGTCAGTGGGGAAGCCAGCAGGAAGTTGCAAGTCCCAGGCCGGCAGGCAGGTAAGTTGCTGCTGCAGGGTGGGGGAGGAGGTGCGTGAGAGGTGCCATGTGGGTCTTGGAGGGTGCACGGGGGTGCATGAGAGGTGCTGTGCAAGTTGGGGAGGGTGCATGGGGGTACTTCAGAGGTGCTTTGTGGGTCAGGGAGGGTGCATGTGAGGCACCATGCAGGTCTTGGAGGGTGCACGGGGGTACACAAGAGGCGCTGGTTGGGGAGGGTGCATGAGAGATGCTGCTTGGGTTGGGGAGGGTATACGGGGTGCACAAGAGGTGTCGCATGGGTTGGGGAGGGTGTAGCATGGGTCAGGGAGGGTGCATGGGGGTGTACAAGAGGCATTGGTCATGGCGGATGCATGAGAGGCACCGTGCAGGTCAGGGAGAGCTCATAGTGTGCAAGAGGCACCACCTGGGTTAGGGTGGGAGTGCAGGTGTGCATGACTGGCTGGTTTGGCATGAGCACAGAGGAGCTGGGAAGGGTGTACAGGTGGGGGAGACTTACCCCAGTGACTCGCAACCTTCCCTGCTGGCTTCCCCACCGATTTTCTGGGAAAGCTGGTGGAGAAGGTTGCAAATGGCAATCAGATGATCGCGGAGGTAAATCTCCCCCAACCAGTTGTAAGTGCGAACAGGTTACCAAGTGCCCAGATCACAGTCACATGACCATGGGGTGCTGGGACAGGTGTCATTCATGAGGACCACCATTCATGAGGACCACCATTCAGTCATTGCGCTGGGCTAGGCTGGGCTGGCTTTGCACTGAGAAAAAGAAAAGAAAATGGTAAAGGCAGCCCCTCAGCCACAGCATCCTAAAACGCCCCTTTTTGCCGGGCTCCTGGACAGAGCTGGAGCTGGCTTTGCACTGAGAAAAAGGATTCCTACCCATTTTTTATGAGTAGACCGTTCCTCCTTCTTGGGAAAGGGGGTAGACCAGACCAGCCTTAGCCCTCTGGAGCTAAAGCTGTTGGGCATGCTGCAGCCCCTTTAAGCTGCTTTGTGCTTTTTTTTTTCCCTTAGCACAAAGCCAGCTCCAGCCTCGCCCAGCAGCCAGGCCGGGCATGCCTTGTCAGCAACAGGAGCAAGAGATGGCAAGGTCAGCTGGGGTGACCGAATGCAGGGCAGGAGGGGTCTCAGAGTGCAGGATGGTGAGGGAGATTGCGGGTGGGACTAGGCTGGGGTGGCTGCTTGCCGCCCTGCAAGGCAGTTTACAGGGTGTCCAAAAGAGCAGAGATGGGGGGGAGATAGGCAGGTAGGGGAAGTTGGAAGCAGTCCCTTACTTTACTGAGGGTCAGGGCTGGGAGGGACCAAGCCTGAAATGGCTTGGATTGGGATGGGTGCTTAACGACAGCAAGAGGAATTGCCAGGGTTGCAGTTGCTAAGCAATGTGGTTACATGACATCTCGCTTTACAACCACATTGCTTAGTGACTGAAATTCCAGTTCTAATTGTGGTCGTAAGTCGAGGACTACCTGTGGATGCTTATATTTGATAAGCTATAGTTTTAATATACTTTTATTGTTTTGGACTGATGTTTATACATTTATTGTCTGATTTTCACTTGTAAATCACTTTAAGGAATGATTGAGTAATATACTGAATGTTTACTATTTTAGGTTGAAATAACTTCTTCAGGAATCCCTATTTGGATGAAGCATATGCAAAAGCAACAGAAAGAGCAGTATCTTCAGTTGAGAAAGAAATTTGGTCTCTTGAAAGAAGAGAGAGTATGTCTTAGGAGAATTTTTTTATCAGTTCCTTCTAAAAGTTCAGAAGCATCTGTATTTTCCAGCACTGTACAAATGAATGATATTGGTAATCTGATGCCTATAAAAAGTGAATCTGAAGAAGAAAGGGTATGTAGAATATTACATTTATGCTAAATAATTGTTCATATTCTTTTTATATTCATCCCTATTGTTAACTGCTAGGAATAATAAAGCCTCTCACAATGACTGACTAAATTGTGATGTCATGAAATGTTTCATAATAGAACTGTTGAGCAAATGGAACAATCTGAGTGCTGATAGATTGGAAAATCTCGTGTAGGCCTAGGAATAAGATGAACTGTGTAGATAAGTAATAGAAAAGAAGATAGAAAAATGAGGAGGAGAAGTTGATGAAAACATCAAGAGAAAATAGGCTGTGGACTAAAATAGAATTTGAAATGAAAAATAGATTAAACTTAGATCCCTTGAAATCAGTGGGATAATTTAAACATAGTGTAATTACAATTATGTTTGCGGGGACTTAAGCTTACCTAACCTAATCTGCCCATTCATTAGGGTCTGTAACTTTAGAAGTACTTTAATTACCATATGAACTTAGATGGAGGCAAAACATTGGCAGATGATCAGCAGAACACAGGAGTATTATTCATTTTGTCTGATCTTGTCTGTAGAAGCCAAAACTTTCATTCTGGACCTCCCTGCAGAGCATGTGCTCTACAACTGATTTTGAAAGTGAATGAGAAAAATACTAACAACATTTTATTTAAAAACTATATTTCAAGAGATAGAAGTATTCATGTAACATCAAGATATATGCCCTTATTATTTTTATAGTTCTTGACAGTTTTCTGTCATTATTTTAGAGTTCTGTAGAATCCAAAAGGAGGAGATATACTGTAGCAAGTGAAGCAATTTGAGTATTTAAAGTTTTGAACATGAAATAATGTCCTATTATTTGCTTTTCCTTAATGAAAAAGGATATAGTCAGTATAATGTGAAATCTTTGAACAGGGCAGTTCTCACTTCTAGAGAGTTGTTAAAGGAAGAGCAGTTTTAGGGGAAGATGTGCCTATCCCTCCCACCTCTGGGAGGGAGTAAGCAGTGGAGGAAGTAAATCTAAGCTAATGGACTTGTTTAAGTTGCATGTTGGTTTAGAGAGGGTGTTTCAGAAGACTTTGAGTTCAGTAGAATCAATTTTTTCCTAGCATGCTTTCTATCTACTCCTGTAACACACCTCCTTTTGACCCCTTCTAAAATTGGGCTTTCTAACAGAACATCCACAAAATGGGAGAAGAACCCTAGGAAGAAAAAGGGAGAAAAATGTCCTATGGTCTTTGTGACATTGTCCCAAAGACACTGGTTGCATCCAGAATAGCTGTTGAGTGGGTTGCTTAATTTATATTATCACAGTAATAAATACTACTGTTTTTATTCTTCATCTACAGATAATTGGGGAACAAGGAGAATATTTGAGTATAAAGAGGAAGATAAAAGCAATACCAGTTTTAGAAAATCCAAAGAGGAGCAAAAATGTTGTTACAACAGTGCTGAACTCAGAATGTAATAACTCTTACTCAGTAATGGAAAGCTTGAGTAATTCTTGCACAAAGGACCTATCAGAACAAGAACATTCTACTAGTTTTCTGCAGTGCTCTCATAAAGTCACAAATCCTTGTGTTCACAATGAAGCGAACAGTGTTTTGAATCCTACTTCATATTGCCATGAAAATGAAACTGCTCTCAGTGAGGGTTCTTTCAAAAAGGATCCTTTTCCTTTCAGCCCACCAAACTTGGAAGAGACAATAAAAGATGAAAAAATAGCAAGGCTTAAACTGTTGCTGAGGAAACAAGAGGCAGCCTTGGAGGCAATTCGGAAAAAAATGTATCAGTCTTAACAAAGCTAGTTCTCAGCAGAGAATTCACTTTCAGCTATTTCGCTTCTGGAGCTTGCTAAAAAAATTGCCTGTTGCTGTTCATGCGTAACCTATCATAATTCTAATTTTTGTGATGTTTACATGGTATTAATGGGTACAAGTATACCCCAGTGCCAAGATAAGTATGCAAATCTAGAATCTTATTGAGAAGAATATGATTTGCTCAGAAGACTATTTGAATAATTCATTATAGTTTTTCATTTTTTATAGTAAATACAGTTTATATTTGTGCTGATCATTAAGTCTCCAGACTGGTTCCATAGATGAAATGTAGATAGAATTCTTCAGTTGCAAATATTTCTAAAGCATATAACTAGCTTGATATTGACAGAAATATACTAGCCTAGGTTTGATTTAGAAGGCTCAGTGATTAATGTTGATCTGTTATTTAAGTGGGTTTGTCCCAAAACTCAAAAATAACATTTTTCGGTCATTAATTATTAATAACTCATTGGTTTCTCAAGAAATTAAAGGTTTGACTTCTCCTTTTCAACATATTACATTTTTAATTAGAACAAATGAACAAAGTATTTGCAGCATGGTGTGCTCATGTTCAGGGATTTAGCTAGCTACTTATACCCTTTTCCAGGATATTCCAGTCACTATCTCCCACCAGTTTTTGATCCACCCCTCTGTCTCCTAAATAATTATACAGTCAGCATTGTGGCCTCAGAGAAGTTCAGTAGTAATTGGCTTGTTTGGGATTTGTTTTGGCTTCATAAAAATCTGCATTTGGTAGAATGAGTTTGATATTACTTTATCCTTCCCATATTTGATTTAGGTTTGAGCACCAGATGATGTATAGCCTACGTTTTTATTACCTCTTCTGTGAATCAGTTTAATTCATTAATTCATTTCATAGTCACTTGTTGAGATGGGCAGCTATAGAATTCAAATAAAATCAATTGTGTTTCTCCTTTTTCTATAATAAATATTACCAATGGGGAAATCTCACTGGCTTATTCTTTAAAGGTATTCATTACTCATTTGATTAGAACATAATCCATGCTGATCTACTTCATATTTTTCTATAGGGTTTTCTAACCCTAGCCCTCATTTTTTGTCAGTTTCTGTACATTTTTGGAGTAGAGTGGAGGTATGTGTGGTTGGTACTTACTCAGAACTTTTTGCGGTGCAGTGCTAAACAATAGGCTTGCCCTATGTTTGACTGCTTTGTGTTGGATCCTAGCTTGGACCAACTGGACTGCATGTAATGGAGCCTTGAGCTTCTGGTTCTGTGGAGGAGACCTTGCTTCCTTATCCCCCCACCCCTGCTCCAGATTTCTACCTTTAGTGCAGGATTCTTCAGGGATTGTCTGGGGGGAGGCTTGTTGGGTGGAGATTTCCATTGCTGCTGCCAAAGCCTTGGGAATGCAGCACCACTGGGGATTGCGGAAGACCTTGGCAAGGGCCAAGATGATGTTTCATTGACAGCCAGTGGCAGGAGACTGGGCATCTTGTGTGGTAGTGATGGTGATGATACAGCCCAGTTGCACAATTGTGATGCTGAGACTTTCAGTGGCTACAGTGCTGTGCAGCCCTGTCAGCTGGTGCTGGGAAATACTGGAGATGTGGCGCTGCACTTTTTGCTGCCTCCTAGCCAAGGGGCTTGCCAGGATTCCAGCAACTGTTAGTGGTGGCAGGGTGAGGAAGAGATAGCAGCAAATTGGTGTTGGCAGGCTGCTGTGAACCACCCCCACCCCCACAGAGGCCATCTTCTTGCTGACACCTGAAAAGGACAGTGCGGTGATCATTTTGTGGTTGATTACACTCTGCAGGCTCCATCTTCCAGATGGGCTGGTAATGATGGTAATGTGAGATTATCAATGCAGATTTTCCTCACTGATAGACTAATGGCCCTTCCTGGGTGAAAGCTGGTGAGGGGGGATTGGTTGGAGGTGATTGTGTTTGTTGGGTGGGAGGGGAGGTGGTTTTTGGAGAGGTGATGGCACTGAGAGCTAGGGCTAAAGTGTCTCAGGGGACTTAGCATCCTCTTCCTTGGATAGATATACTGAAGACAGGAGGGGATCCCCTGGCTTGAGAACTGGGGAAGCTGGATTGGGGGATGGTGGGGCCTCAGGGCGATGTTAGGGCAGGTCAGAATATCACAGTAATGATGGGTATAGGACACTGGGAGAAGGCCACAAGAGACCAGGAGAAGGCCACTCTCAGGAAATGCGGGCTTGGTGCCTTATACCAGGTCCACGTTCCAGCCACTGGAACTCAAACCCAGTGCCTGGTCAGCTGCCCTTCTGAGGCCCTGGCTTTTGGCTGCTGCTACTAAATGCCAGGTCAGCCTGTAATTAGGCCTCCCTCATTTGTGATTTAATCACAGATGGGAGGACCAACCTGGCGTGCATTACTGAGACCTGGCTGGCGCTGGAAAGGGGGGTTCCCCTTTCAAAAGTGTCAGGTGGGCTTCGGGTGTGGCATCAACTGAGACCTCAGGGCAGGGGTGGAAGTGTGGTGATTGTCATCCAGGAGTGTCTTCAGGCTTTCAGGGGCACTACTTTGCAGGTTGCTGGATGTGAGACCCTTTCATTAAGTTGGGCTCTAGGGATCAGTTGGGACTGTTGCTACTGTACTAGCCTCCCTGTTGCATAGCAATCTCCCTGCCTCAGCCGCTTGACACTATTACTGGGTTGGCAGTAGAGTTCCCCAGACTTGTGATCTGCAGGAACTTCAATCTGCCTTCTCTGGTGGGTCTGAGGCGGCTTAGGAATTCATGGCTACCATGACAGCCACGGGCTATCCCAGATCATCCAGGGCCCGACATGGTACAGTGGTTGCACATCTGATCTGGTTTTCCTGTCAGAGCAGTGACAATGTGATCTGGAATTGGGGGAGCTTTCAGTGTCCCCCTTGTCATGGTCAGGTCATGTCCTGATGGCCATGAGATTCTCTGGTGCCACTATCCACTGCAGGGAGGCAGGACCTATTAGATTGGTCTTCTCTTGGTGACTGATGGACCCAGATGGGTTTCAGAGGGAGCTGGGGATTGTTCCTGCCAGTTTGCTGCATAGTCTGAAGCCTTGGTTGCCGCTTGGAACAAGAGGGCTGCTGAGGCCTTAGATTGGATTGTGCCTATGCGGCCTCTCCCCTCTCTTGGATCCCATCACTCCCTGTGGTTCACATAAATGCTGAGGGAGATGAAATGGGAGATGTGTAGAGCATCGCTGGCACTCAACAAGGGACGAATTCAACCAAACACAGGTTAAAGTTGCACTTAAGGCCTACCTTGTAGCAGTAAGGGTGGCGAAGCGACAATACTTCTCTGCCCTTATTGTGTCTGCAGATAGCCATCCGGCAGCCTTGTTTTAGGTGGTATGTGTCCTCTTTGGTAGAGGGCTCAGAGATCCCCCTACAAGGCCGCGCAGAAGAATTTGTTCAGCATTTGTTAGATAAAGTCACTCAAATTCATTCTCAGTTGGACGCTGGCCTTGTTGCAGGTCCCAGGGAGGTGCCTGGGGTAGAGTCTTGCCCTGTTACCTAGGAAGAGTTTGAACTTATTGGGCCTGAGGAAGTGGATAGGGTCCTTATGACTGTGAGCTTAGCCACCTGCTCTTTAGATCCATGCCTCTCCTGGCTAACTAAAGCTGCCTGAGGGGTGTCTTGTGGGTGGGTTCTAGCGGTGATGAATTCTTCCTTGTGTGAGGGGGTCGTTCCTCCACCTCTTAAGGAGGTGCTGGTTTACCCCTTCCTCAAGGACCCATCGCTGGATCCCACCATACTGAACAATTTTTGTCCAGTGCCTAACCTCCCTTTTGGGGAAGGTGGTCGCACAGCTACTTCAGAGGACCCTGGATGATACGAATGAGCTGAACTCCTTTCAGTCAGGATTCAGGCCTGGGAACAGAACAGAAACGGCACTGGTCATGCTTTTAGATGATCTCTGGCAAGAGCGGGATGGGTATCCATCCTCTTCTGCTTGACCTCTCAGCAGCCTTTGATACAATCAGCCATGGTATCCTTTTGGATCAGCTCCAGGGAGTGGGGGTGGGTGGCATGGTATTGTGCTGGCTCTCCTCCTTTCCCCAGGGTCGATATCAGTGTTGATTGGAGGCGAGAGAACTTGCCCTTGGCTCCTACTGTGTAGGGTGTCACAGCGTTCAGTGCTCTCTCTGCTCCTATTTAACATCTACATGAAGCCTCAGGGTGAGTTCATCTGTTGCTGAGATATACTAATGATACCCAATTATACATCTTATAATTCTCCCCTGGCAAATTAAGCAATGCTATTGATGTCCTATCCCAGTTCCTGGAGGCTGTGGGGCCCTGGGTGGGGAACAACAGGCTTTGGCTGAACCCTGGCAAAGCTGAGTGGCTTTGATTTGGAGGCCTTCTGGTTCTGGGACTTTGCCATCTTTGATACTGGATGGCGTTGCACTGCTCAAAGTCCTCTTAGACTCATGACTCCTGCTGAAAGAGCAGGTGACAGTAGTGGCTAGGAGGGCCTTTGCACAACTTCATGTGCACCAATTGTGCCTGTTCCTGGATTGGGAGGCTCTGGTCACAGTCACTCATACCGTGGTCACCTCCCAACTAAGTTGACTACTGTAATGCACTCTACATGGGGCTGCCCCAAAGAGTATTCAGAAGCTTCAGCTGGCGCAAAATGCGGTGGTATGGGGAGTTATGTGTGTTCCTAGAATAGCACATTACATCTCTGCTTTGTGAGTTGCACTGGTTGCCAGTTTGCTTCTTGGTCCAATTCAAGGTGCTGGTTTTGACCTTTAAAGCCCTTCATGGCATGGGGTGGATTGAGGAACTGCCTTTTCCCAATTACATCTGCCCATTCCATCAAGTCCGGCAGAAGAGGTATGTTACAGATCCCGTTTTTTAAGGAGCTACATCTGGCAGGACACAGGAGTCGGGCCTTTTCTGCCATGGCACCTGCCCTGTGGAACATAATTCCCACCGAGGTGAGACTGGCCCCATCCTTGGTTACTTTCTGGAAGTCCCTCAAAATGTGGCTACTGTATGTCAACAGGCTTGGGGATCTCAGGAAAATGGAGAATTAGTGAGATGGCTACACTGTAATACCAAAGATGCTCTTTTCCAGGTTTTTTTTTTTATAATATTGATTTTTTAAATTATGGAATGTTTTTTAAAGTATCTTTTTTATAGTTTGTTTCTTATTGTATGCTGCCCAGAGGCATGTTTGTGGGATGGGCAACTATATGTGACGAATGAATGAATATTACCACGCTGTGCTGATCTGTATGTACATCAAGGATGCATAATCTGTAGATCCCCAAGGCTTTTTTGTGTGACTTCCCTATCCTTCTCCCCAGCTACTGCAATTAGACTAGAAGGGGGAAGCTTATGGATGGGTTCAAGATTTTTTTTTTACAGTATTTTCATATAAAATTATATTTCTATACCTTGCATTGAATGTTCATATATATATAGCCGTGTATATAAGCTGATGCCAGTGGAACATTAGTCATCATGATTCCTGCATTTTAAAAAATTGAAGTGCCATGTTTGAACCAAAGCGTTTTTCTGAGAGAAGTTCTAATTTACATCATTTTCTCTGTCTTCTTCTCATATGCTTCCTGTGATTGGCATTCCTTGGTCATCTGGTAGAAGCTGCTCTTGCGTATAATAAAGATTAGGCCCAAGTAGGCTTGTTTCTGTATGCAATGAGATTTTCTACAATAAATGGTGGAAAGGAATGAAATATATTAGTTAATTTGGTCCTGTTATCATAAAGCAACAACAAAGTCATGACAGATATGCACACTAGATCCTATTTTAGAGGCAAATTAAGGAATCTCATGGATAGCATTCTGGGTTAATAATTTTATCAAAGTTCAAAAATTGTATGGAGTCGTTCCAAGTCATTCCATCTCTGAGACTTTGGTCCCCTCCTTGTCTATCCCTAAAGGGACAGAAGTTGACGTCCTTGGGAGCCCCTACTTCTAAGTGCTAGAGGGGACTGTTTCTGGGGCTCTGCCTGCCCTCCTGCCTTTCCCAAGAGGTGGGAGGCCTTGCTGGCTCCCTGGGAGATGTTGCTCTCAGGTGCTCCCAGTGTTCTTGGAGCCCTTTTCTTTAAAAGCTGCATGATGCCAGTGGATTGGGCTTCTGAGAAGTGTTCCTAATGCCAATTACTGATGTCTCTGGCCCAGGAAGGACCCCAGGGGAAAAATGAGTCTCTAAATAGATTCTGATACCCACCACTGATTTAAACATGTAAAGCACTACATAAATTCTAGCCCAAAAATGGGTAATGAGGAGAGGAGGAAAGAAAGAAGGGGAGAAATATTCTGCAGCACAATACCTTTAATTGTTTTCCTCTATCACTGAGGTAAACAATATATATGTTTGTATTACTTAGGCTTATAGGCTGCTTCAATTGTATCCAGTTTTAAGCTGTGTACGCTCCTTTTCTCTAACCAGGATTAAAACAATACAAATTCCAAAAGGACTGGAGCCACTATTCATAAGGGGGAATGCTGTCCATAGGAGGAGGCAGCAACCAAGAAGGGTCAGTTTGAAGACCCCTGATAGTAATGCTCTGAGTAGAAACCCAAAAAGAACCCTCCTTCCCTCCCTGATCTTACTAAGAGGGCACTTACTGGGAACAGTGTTGAAAATGTCCAGGTCTTAAGCCATGTTGTACATTTAACAAGCAGCATCAATCAAAGCTCGTCCCTTGAGTCTAGCCTCAGAAACAAGGCCTCACACCCGGTAATCAGAAGGGCAGTGTCTCTGGTTACCGGCATGGCTCTTTGCATCACAACAGCCACTCTCCCTCCCCTGCCTTGGACTTGCAGCTGATGCAAAACCCAAAACTCAAATCAGAAATGTGGATGGGCACACTTCTGAAAGGGAAAGACTCTCCCTTCACCCAAGTCTCAGTAACATGTCGGGTCTGCCCTTTCTGCAATCAAATCTTGGATTAGGAGACATTTACTATGGGCAGGCAATAAAGATCTAATATACAGTGGTACCTCTAGTTACGAACGCCCCTCCTTACGAATTTTTCGAGATACGACCTGCTCCGGCCCCAAAAATTCCCCTCGACTTGCAAACTCGCCTTGACTTACGAACCGGATCCGCGGCCATTTTCCGCCCATTCCACGTGGTCCGCAGCCATTTTCCCACCCGTGCCACGTGGTCCGCGGCCATTTTCCACCCATTCCACGTGGTCCGTGACCATTTTCCGCCCGTTCCACGTGGTCCGTGGCCATTTTCCCGCCCATTCCACATGGTCCGCGGCCATTTTCCGCCCGTGCCACGTGGTCCGCGGCCATTTTCCACCCATTCCACGTGGTCCGTGACCATTTTCCGCCCGTTCCACGTGGTCCGTGGCCATTTTCCCGCCCATTCCACATGGTCCGCGGCCATTTTCCGCCCGTGCCACGTGGTCCGCGGCCATTTTCCACCCATTCCACGTGGTCCGTGACCATTTTCCGCCCGTTCCACGTGGTCCGTGGCCATTTTCCCGCCCATTCCACATGGTCCGCGGCCATTTTCCGCCCGTGCCACGTGGTCCGCGGCCATTTTTCCGCCCATTCCACATGGTCCGCGGCCGTTTTTCCGCCCTGCCGTGTGGTCCGCGGCCATTTTCCACCCCTGACATGTGGTCCGTGGCCATTTTTCCACCCCAACATGTGGTCCGCAGCCATTTTTCCGCCCTGCCGCATGGTCCGTGGCTGTTTTTACGCCCGACGCGTGGTCCGCGGACACTGGAACGGATTAACGGTAATTACATTGAACCTTATGGGAAAATTTGCCTCGTGTTGCGACCAATTCGAGTTGCAACCAGAGTCACGAAATGGATTAAATTCGTAACTCGAGGTTCCACTGTACTTCTCTACAGTCCTGATTAATTTATAAATAATAAAATTCATTGCTAACAACTGAGCAATTTGCTCTATCCTTTATAGAAGCAATTGTTCTGAAAAATGTATTTCAGGATCAGTTTCTGAAAATAAAATATTCATATATCTCTAGTTGGCTTTGAGCTCAGAAAACAAAGAAAAATAAATATGAAATATTTTGAATAATCACCTATCTTGCCTACAACCTGTCTAACGGTCTAATATCAAAGGCTGACTTTTGCTGCAGAAGTTCATAATACATTTTAACAAAGTATCATCTTAATGCCCCATAAGTACAGAAAATTGTTTTTGATGGCCTCTATTCCACCTCAGCTTCAGACAGATTTACTAACTTCAAAATCTCCAAATACAAGATATTTAGTAAAGCAGAAACCTGTCTATATGACCCAACTCCTATTTATACAGTGGTACCTCGGGTCACGAACGCTTCTGTTCACAACCAATTCGGGTCACGAACAGCTCCGTTCAGAAAATTTTGCCTCCGCGAACGCCGGATCGGGTGGCAAACAGGATCCGCGGCCATTTTCCCTCCCGTGACACGTGGTCGTGGCTTCCTGTAGGGAGGGGGACTCTCCCTCCAAGCA